GAGGCTTAGGGCTGTTTTTCGGGTTTAGGGCGCTGTTTAGGGTTTAGTTTAGGGTTTAGGGGTCTCGGGTTCTACCCTCAACCCTAAACCCTCGAAACCCTGCAAACCCTAAAGCACTGGGGGGGTCATGGGGCTTTCAGTCTAGAAAACGTCCCTGCCGAAGCCGCCTTGAAGCTGCTGAGCTGAGTAGTTGAATCTGCACCCTCAAGAACTTGAAACTCCTACACGGGTTTAGGGTTTAGGGTTTAGGTTTTAGGGTTTATAGGGTTTAGGGCTACTTGGAGGTTCATGGTACTTATAGCCCAATGAGAACTGTACTCATAACCCACTTTTTAAGCCGTTTAAGTGCCCTTTTGAAGTAGTTATAGTTGGGTTAGAAGTACAGCTAGAATTGCGTTATAAAGTACCATGAACCTCCAAGTAGGACCTCATCTTACGGACTGGGTAAGTAGCCTTTAACTTTTTTTGTTATATAGAACCCTACTATATATATATATACAAGGTTAGCCATTTTGGGGCTAGGGTGCTCAGCCCCGATGTCATGAAGCCCTTAAACACGCCCTGAATCCCTAAACCCGCAAACGCCCACAATCGCCACCCTAAACACGAAACCCGACCCCCCCCCCCCCCCCCCCCCCGTTAACCCTAAACCCCAAGCTTTATAAGCCCTCAACCCCCTTATCAAAAAAACACATAGCACCCTAAACCCTAAGAAAAAATTTAAATCAGAAATAGAAACAAAAAAACAATATTATAAAACCAAAACATCGCGAGAGGCGGACAGCCCGATGCCCGCCTTGGCGAAGTTGGGGCCGGCGCCCGTCGAGAAAGGCCCAGCTTGTGGGAGTTTTGTTGCTGGGTTTGGGCGTACTTTACTTTTAATACGTTCTTGGTTGGTTCTGGGTTCCTATGATTGCTACTTATACCCAAAAAGTATATACTTTTTTTGCTTGGTTCTGGGCTACTTATACACAAAAAGCATATACATTTTTGTCTCCAGGGTCTACTCCGAAGTAGGGAAGCTGTGAGCGGCAGGGTAGGGTTGACTCGGTACGGTTCCAGCTCAGAATATCCTCTGCCCCTCCGGAAAGAGTGTCCATTCTACACAAGGTACCTCCCCCTAAACCCTGATTTGGGGTAAGGGGGACAGGTCTTCGGCAAAATGCAGGAGTAAGATGCCTCCAATCCCTGACCGGTAAACCCGAAAGCCCAGAAGCTTACTTGGAGGTTCATGGGTACGCATGTATTTTGGGCTATACGTACCCTGAACCTCCAAGTAACCCTAAACGCTAAACCCTGAACCCTGAACCCTAAACCCTAAACCCTACTAGGCGGAGGGCGCTGACGCCAACCGGATACGGACGCGCCTTCTTGAGCAGCTGGCGGTTGCGATTGCGCGCGCCAATGGCAGAGCCGTCCGGCGTAGGAGAGACGTCATAGGCACGTCGGCCTCCCACCTCGCCGCCCGTGCCGACCTCGCCGTCAGCCCGTGAAGGGGAACCGTGTGGGTGATTAGTTCTTAACTGGCTGGGGCTTGACACCACGGTGCTGGGTTGGAAGCAGTGGTCAGCTGTACGTGTTCCTCGGCGTCTTCTCGGCATCTCCTCCTTCCTCCACTGAAAGGTCAGACCAAATCTCGGGTAGTCGACTTTCCGGGGCTCCGGGGCAATTTTCGTTCACGTGGCCGAGCTAGCAATGTCGTCCTGAAGGGACTTGCGTCGCTCCAGCTGACGCCTTGGGGGCCCCGACGGGTTTTGCTCGGGCAGGGTGGCCGGAGGCCCCAAACTTGCTCCAGCTTTCTGTGAGCTCGGGTTGGGGGGGTGTTTAGTCCACGGGCCCTAAGGGACACGGTTTTCCCCCTCAACTGCTTTCTCGTACAGACGAGCTTTGTAGCATTCGTTCTCTCCTACCTCTTCACTGTGCACTTCTTCCCTACTATATATCACGACCCTCGGCCCTAGGGCAAAGCCCAAGAACTGAAAACCTCAACAATGCCCCCGAAAGGCCCTAAACAAAAGCCCGAAATATCCCCAAGCCCCCCCCGCCCATAACCCAAAGCCTGGACGCTGAAAATCCTTAAGCCGAAAAAGTCAAAACTCAAGGAACATACGTGTTTTTTAAAAAAGAAGAGAGCCCAAAAAGCTGCCCAAAAGCAACACCGGAAAGGTTCTCTTGCGAAGCCCAACTTTGAGATCAGCCGAGAGTTGAGCCAGCTGAGCCTCCCAGCTCTACCAGCGCTTCCAGGCACCTGGTTTAGGGTTTAGGGTTTAGGGTTTAGGGTTTGGGGTTTAGGGTTTAGGGTTCAGGGTTTAGGGTTCAGGGTTCAGGGTTCTCCCCCCCTATTTCAGAAACTCTCCGTAGTCATGGTAAAGACAGAGGGTGGGCTCGAGAAAATAAGAATGACAAAAAGACTCCACAACACCACAGCATCCGAAGCAAAGAAGACGGCGCAAGGGGCTGTAATAATTAGCCTTTCGGAAACTTGAGCTGCTGGCAGTCGGGGGACCGAAAACAGCGAGCCCCTTAACCCCACAGCCCTAAGCCCGAACGAAGCCAAGCCCCCTAAAGTACTAAACCCCAAGCCCCCTAAGGCCGTAAGGGTGTAAGGCCCTGGCCCTAAGGCCCGAAGCCCTAAACCCTAAGCCCTAAACCCCTAAACCCCTGAAGTCCCCTCAAAAGCCCCAAAGCTGCAGGAGAAAACTCCGAGCCGCCCTCCAGCCGCACGAGCCGGGCCTCCCCTCGAAGCGCCACTTGGGGGGGAGTCGTTTTAGGTTTTTAGGGTTTTAAGGTTTTAGGGTTTTAGGGTTTATGGGTTTTAGGGTGTTTAGGGTTTTAGGGTTTTAGGGTCTAGGGTTTTCGGGTTTTAGGGTTTTCGGGTTTTAGGGTTTTAGGGTTTTCGGGTTTAGGGTTTTTGGGTTTTTGGGTTTTTGGGTTTTTGGGTTTTTGGGTGTTAGGGTGTTAGGGTGTTAGGGTGTTTAGGGTTTAGGGTTTTTGGGTTTTTGGGTTTTAGGGTGTTTAGGGTTTAGGGTTTTAGGGTTTTAGGGTTTTGGGGTTTTAGGGTTTTAGGGTTTTAAGGTTTTGGGGTTTTTGGGTTTTAGGGTTTTAGGGTTTTAGGGTTTTAGTGTTTTAGGGTTTTGGGCTTTTATTTAGCAAGGTTTGCTTAGGGTGTTGGCTTTTTTTAGCAGGGTTTGCTTGGGGTCGTTTGGGGCAGGGGGGTCTGGGGTTCCAGGCTTCACGGTTTTTCGGTGCTTTGGGGTAGGTTAGGTCTTCGGGATACCATGGGGGTCCCTTGGATTCCTCGGGCTTTCTAAGGTTGAGGGTTCAGGGTTTGGGGTTTGGGGTTTAGGGTTTAGGGTTTGGGGTTTAGGGTTTAGGGTTTAGGGTTTAGGGTTTAGGGTAAAGGTTTAGTAGAGTTTAGGGTTGAGGTTCTCAAACCGAGGCATTTGCCTTCCCCTCCTTGACCCTCCCAAGCCAGAACTCCATTGGGGAAAGCCCCTCAAGCCCTTAAAGGCCAAAGAACTTAGGGTTTAGGGTTTAGGGTTTAGGGTTTAGGGTTTAGGGCTTAGGGTGTGGGATTTAGAGCCCTCAGCCCCAAACCCTGAACCCTAATCCCTTAACCCTTCACTCTTGGCTGTGAAACCCAATTGCCCCCCAAAGTAGGGTTTAGGGCTATGGGGCTTTTCCAAGAGTACCTTCTTAAGAGGATATATTCCGGGCTGCCCCTGTTTTGGGGAATTCCCCTATTCCCATTGTGGTACTTGAAATCAGCAACTCATCCACAGACCCTGAGGTGGTCATCGGATGCAGAGTCTTAGGTTGCTTAAACCTAAATCTTCAACCCAGCCGAACCCTCTAGAAAGAAACAACCCTGAACCCCATATACCTTAACGCCCCCCCCCCCCCCCCCCTCCCTAAGACTAGAGACCCCTCAAAGCCCCCTTGAAACCTCCGAACTGAAACTCCAACATCAACTGGGTTCAGGGTTCGAGGTTCAGGGTTCAGGGTTTAGGGTTCAGGGCCATGGGGCACTGGGGGGGGACCCTGCCAAGGATGCCCCGCCGGTCTCCTCCTCATTGCGCAGCCCCGGGCCCGAATCGATCCAGCGGCAGCTGTCGCTCCAAGAGCGCACCACCGTCCGGGAGTTCTCAATCATGAAGGCTGCTTCTGGGCTTGGGGGTTTGGGGTTTAGGGTTTGGGGTTTAGGGTTTGGGGTTTAGGGTTTGGGGTTTGGGGTTTGGGGTTTAGGGTTTGGGGTGTTCAGGTGCAAGTCAACACCTTCAACAACCTCAAGCTCTATGAACTCCCGCCAAGAGACATGAACCACTTCCGTGCACGAATCCTGATAGCAATGATGCAAATAACAAAAAATGCAAGTGGTTACACAGCCATACAAGAACTGTCCCCAAACCCTAAACCCGAAACCCCTAGGCCCTAAATCCTACCCTAAACCGTAAACCCCAAACCCTGTCAACCCTAAGCCCACCTAAACCCTAAACCCTAAACCCTCCCTGATAGGTCCAGACTGTAAATGCGTCGACGCCATCGGCTGTGAAGCCCTGGCTCCTCGCCACAGGAGAGTAGGCTCAGCAAGTTTGAGCCAAGTTGAGGGTTCAGGGTTTAGGTTTAGGGTTTAGGGTTTAGGGTTTAGGGTTTAGGGTTTAGGGTTTAGGGTTTAGGGTTTAGGGTTTAGGGTTTAGGGTTTAGGGTATCTCAAGTCCAAGCATTCGCCAGTCAAGCTTGCTACTGGCAGGAAGGGTTCTCCCGGGCTTTCTTGGGGGGACATTTGTCCGGGGGCGTGCCGAGGGTGTCCCAGGCCCCCCTGGCACAAATGTCCCGCGGGGCCCCCCGCCGGGACGCCCGACAAATGCCCACGACAGTTGCCCACTAGCTATCGACAAATGCCCACTAGCTATCGACAAATGCCCACTAACTGTTGCCCACTAATTTTCGACAAATGCCCACTAACTTTCGACAAATGCCCACCCACCAGCTTTCGACAAATGCCCACCAATGTCATTAAGATGTTTTAAGAAAATGCATACATAAATAATATGAATATAAATATACGTATCCATATATGTTTCTATATATATATATATATATATAGGTAAAAACATATATAAATATAGGCAACAGAAGTCTAGGGTTAGGACTTAAAGGATTTGGGGTTTAGGGGTTTGGGGGTTAAGGGCCTTAGGGTGCAAGGTTCGGCTTGTGAGCGGGCGTGAAGGTTCAGGCTACATATCCTCCTTAAAGCTTAGAAGGAGGCCGAGTAGTTCTAAACGTATAGGAAAATGGCCACTTGTAGTCATATATATATATGTATATATATATATATATATATACATATGATATATTATATACATATATATATACATATACATATATACGCATATACGTGCACTCCCAAGCATCAAAACCTTAAATCCCGGCAAGCGCATGTTCTAAAACCTCAAAAAAAAACAAGAGCCCTCCTTTCCGAGGTATGTCATCAACCCTGCGAGATGTTGCCTGGCGGGCCCCTGGCAGATTATCGTCTTCTTCTCGCTGGTCTTCGTGGCGCTGGTGACACCAGTGCAGGCTCAGGGTTGGAAGGGTGGAAGGGTTTAGGGTTTAGGGTTTAGGGTTTAGGGTTTAGGGTTTAGGGTTTAGGGTTTAGGGTTTAGGGTTTAGGGTTTAGTTGGCTTAAGGGTTGAAGGGTTTAGATTGGGATGTTCCCCCCTTATACTAACAGTCCTTAATAGGGACTTTTGTACCCCCCCCTATTATCATCCCCATCACGGACTGTTAGTATGAGGGGGAACATCCCAAGGTTTGCAGTTGAGGACAACGGGAACCCTGCTCAACCCTTTGGCTCTCTTAAGCAGGGACCTTATTCAGAGGGTCTATATTTGCAAGGGTCTCAAATCCTATCCCCTAAGTTTACAGGGCTTAGGCAATGAGATCCTGAAGAAGTTCGCGGGGGTGCCGAGTGTCTGTTACAGTCGTCCTGGGTCTGGGCTGCGGGGTTATTGCGCAGAAGCCGAGATGCGATCTTACACCCTAAACCCTAAACCCTAAACCCTAAACCCTAAACCCCCTCTGAACGAAAGAGCCGCTGAGAACTGGGAGTTTAAGGGTTGAAGGATGGTGGCAGGTGTGCCTGCTTCACCAGAATGAGTACAACCCCGCCTTCTTCCTCGGCCTACTGGTGTCTGGCACTATGAAGGTTATTAAGGGCTTTAGGGTTTAGGGTGTAGGGTTTAGGGTTTAGGGTCGAGGGTTACTAAGGTTATTACGGTTATGAGGGTTTGTGAGGGGTTTGTGTGGACACAGTTCAGCGGGCTTTGGGGGTCATTGGGGTTGCAAGGCTTAGATATTTTCAAGGTTTGGAGTGATGTGGATGGGGCCTTTGCTTGGATTCGGACTGAGAATCTTCAAGAGAGTTTAGGGTTTAGGGTTTCGAGGGTTGAGGGTCTAGGGTTTAGGGTTTAGGGTTTAGGCTTTTCACAGCTTAGCGTTCCCCTCCGCCCGAACCCTGCACCCTGAACCTCACACACCCTCGAGCCCTCAAGACGTCCGCAGCTCCAGAGCAAAGCATCCAACTCGGCGCGGAGAGCTGCGGCGGGTTTAGGGTTTAGGGTTAAGGGTTAAGGGTTAAAGGTTAAGGGTTAAGGGTTAAGGGCTTAGGCGGGCCCTAAACCCCTAGACCCCCAAACCCCTAGACCCCAAACCCCTGTAAGTCTCACTCCCAAAAAACTCAATTTATACCTCTTAGATGGACGTCATCTTCCTCTTATCTTATTTCTGTTTATTCTGTTCTACTATAATTCTATGCTATTCTATTCCATTCTGTTCTATTTTATTTTGATTCTATTCTATTACATTACATTACATTCTAAGTTTTATCTTGTTATATTATATTGTGGTATATCTTATTAATTATTGCAGTATATGTTATTATACCACACTCGTAATCTTTATACTATATTATGTTGTGAACATGAGGTGGACTTCATCTTCCTCGTCGATATGGGCCTCCAGTTCTGCACTGCCTACACTCGGAACACTCCCTCGGGTGTCGTCCTCGAGGTGGGCGGAGACGCTGCTGGAGGATGGGGTTTAGGGTTTAGGGTTTAGGGTGTAGGGCTTAGGGCTTATAGGGTCCAGCATCCCCCGAAATCATCCCGATTTAAAATTGTCTGGGTGGGCTCTTGTTGGGTTCAAGAGGATCATAATTCAGAACATAAAACACTCATTCGATTTCAGCCGGCGCCCCCATTTTCCGGGGGTCCTCAGGGATTTCTTGGAGGTTCATGGTACTTAGTAGCCAATTGCCCTAATATGGTTATAAGTACAGTTATAAGTACAGTTATATGTACAGTCATAAGTACAGTCATAATTGGTTAATAAGTACCATGAACCTTCAAGTCAGGGCTAGGCCCCCACGGTGCTTCGGTTCCCTCCATCCCACAAATAGGGGAAACCCAGCTTCCAGGATACTTTGGGAATCTAGACCCTCTAAACCCTAAACCCTGAACCCTAAACCTTCATCCCTTGTACTGCATAAGGCGGCTACCGTAAACCCCTAAGAGCTCCGAAGCCTAAGGGAAGCCTTGACCTTCTAAACCTTAAGCTCTTTCAGCTCTCAGCCTTGGGCCTTGCGAGGTCCTAAGCCGGTGCAGGGTTTAGGGTTTAGGGTTTAGGGTTTAGGGTTTAGGGTTTAGGGTTTAGGGTTTAGGGTTTAGGGTTTAGGGTTTAGGGTTTAGGGTTTAGGGTTTAGGGTTTAGGGTTTAGGGTTTAGGGTTTAGGGTTTAGGGTTTAGGGTTTAGGGTTTAGGGTTTAGGGTTTAGGGTTTAGGGTTTAGGGTTTAGGGTTTAGGGTTTAGGGTTTAGGGTTTAGGGTTTAGGGTTTAGGGTTTAGGGTTTAGGGCTAGGGTTCAGCTATCAGGTGTCAGGGTTTAGGGTTTAGGGTTTACGGATCACACCCTAGATCGTGAACCCTAAACCCAGGCATGGCTTTAGACTCGTCTCTCTGGCTATTCCGAGCGCGCAGGTGCGCCTGGGACGGATCGTGTCCCGGTACTTGAAGACCTGGCCTCTCGCACTCAACACCAGGGATCTTAAGAGTCCTTGTAGGTTTAGGGTTTTGGTTTTAGGGGTTTCCGTGCCTGTAGGTACCAGGAAATTGGAGACTCTAGGACTTACAGGCACACAGAGGCTCTTAGCGATGGACGCACTTGAACCCTGCACCCTCCTAAACCCTAAGCCCAAAGGCCTAAACCTACACCCGAAACGCTAAACCCTAAACCCTCAACCCTAAACCCTAAACCCTGAACCCTCACCCTAAACCCACAAGCCTATGAGGTTTTTCTTGGACTTCGTGACCCTCATCCCCTTCGACCTTATCACGCCGCATGAGACGGACAACGACATAGGCCACTCAGGGTTTAGGTCTTAGGGTTTAGGGCTTAGGGTTTAGTTTCGGGTTTAGGGTTTAGAGTTTAGAGTTTAGGGTTTAGGGTTTAGGATTCAGGGTTTAGGGTTTAGGGTTTACAGAGGAGGGTCGGGGGAGTTAGTAAGTAAGCATTAAGGGGACCCCTATAAGGGACCCGTAATGTTTTTCCCCTTTACAACCCCGAAATTCCCGCCATAAATACCCTAGATAGTCCCTAACTACCTAACTAGCCCGTAGATCACCCCTAAGGTCCCTTGGAAGGGTCCCTCCTTTTAGTCCCTTTACAGGAGGGGACATAGAGAGGGCACCCCTGGCGTTTTCGGAGCCTCCTTCACTTTCTTCTCTAGCTCGGCCCTATTATGCCAGTGATGCCCAATATTTTAGTACAAACCCTCATTCCCATCTTTGGGGTTCTGTTGCCTGCCTTATACAGTCTCATGAAAATCTAAAAAAGCATCTTGCCATCTGGAATAAGAGCAATACTAGAAATACCCCCCCCATTCCCCCCGATAGTGAGTCATACTAATCCACAGAGCCTTGTGGCTTGTATCCCCTACACCCCCAACCCCCATCAATCCCCAACAAAAAACGTATGAACACTTGCACTTGGAGGTTCATGGCTCTTATTAACCAATTGAACCTCCAAGTATGCCCCGGACCCAAGAAACCCAATAAAGCCACACAAGCCCCAAGCCCTAAGCCGCTTCAACCCTTGCATCCCCGAAATTGCGGAACTCCATAAGCCTCACGCAACTCCCCATTCTATCCGTATGAATCCAAAACCTTATACATGGGGAATAAACCACTTCCCCGAAACCCCCAAACGTTTTTTAGACCCCTATACCTTCCGCCAGGTTACAGTGGCGTCAAAGTCCTGCGCGCCCTCCGACTGTTGAAGCTGATCAGGTGCCCTGGACCCCCTCGAACCCTCAAGGATCTACAGGGCTTGTGTTGGTTCAGTCGTTCAGGGCTTAGGGGTGCAGTGAAGGGTTTGGGTCAAGTTTAGAGGTTTAGGGTTTAGGGTGAGTCGTGGTAGCTCGCGCATTGGAAGGGAAAAAGGTTTCTGCACGCAAGACCGGCAACGACGGTTTCTGGCACGTCCCATGGTGGCGCAGAAAGTGTCTGCAAGGAACTGAACGCCCTAAACCTCAACCCCAAACCCCAAAACCCCAATCTAAATCCCTAACCTTACATCTCTAGAGCCCAAGCCCTAGAACGTTTCCATGAATACGAGCAGCAAACGTTCTTGAAAGGCTCGCCCGGCGGTCGCCGTGGATGGAGGAGCAGGAGGCCCCACCCTAAAACCCTAAACCCTAACCTCCCAAAGCCGAAACCCCCCAACCCTAAACCCCTAAACCCTCAACCCTCAGAGCCCTACCCCCAATCCCTAACCCTCAAACCCTACAAGCCTAAACCCTAAACCCTCAAACCCTAAGCCTGACCCACACCCACCCGTGTTGGGCCAGCAACCGGCTCTGTCCTGTATGGTGGGTACTTTGGGGGCTTCCTTTCTCGAGTTGCTTTTCTCCTGCAACACGAGCGACAAAGGAGAGGATGGATGTTTAGGGTTTAGGGTTTAGGGTTCAGGGTTTAGGGTTCAGGGTTTGGGGTTCAGGGTTCAGGGTTTGGGGTTTGGGGTTTAGGGAAATCTTGCCAAGGCTCTGCGATCCATCCCATACCAGCAGCTCGCCCTGGCGCGCTTCCTTCTGGTTCTAGGCCGTGGAGGGGCGATACGAACTCCCCAACATTCTCCCCTAAGCCCTAAGCCTTAAGCCCTAAACCCTAAACCCTAAACCCCAAACCCCCCCTTTAAGCCCCAAGGCCCAAGCGTTTTTCTCAGGCCAGAAAGTCAGCCCCGAAAAGGCAGAGACTGTCAGTGCAGCACTTTGGCTTTGGAGAACCCGAATATCCGAATACCCAAATACCCCAATACCCTGGTACCCCTCCCCCCCCAACCCTATAAACCCTATAGACCCTACAAACCCTATAAACCCTATAAACCCTATATACCCTATACACCCTATACACCCTATACACCCTAAGCAAACTATACACCCTATAAACCCTAAACCCTAGACCTTTTAACCCTATGAACCCTATATACCCTATAAACCCTATATACCCTATAAACCCTATATGCCCTATAAACCCTATACACCCTATACACCCTATACACCCTATAAACCCTGCAAACCCTAAACCCTAAACCCTAAACCCTAAACCCTAAACCCTAAACCCTAACCCTAAACCCTAAACCCACCTGACCAAAGGGCTGATGTGCCACTGGCTTGCATGCCTCTGGGCGTTTACGCTCCAGCTGGTGGACAACACCTATCCCAAGTGGACTCCTGGCCTACAGAGGGTTTAGGGTTTAGGGTTTAGGGCTTTAGGGTTTAGGGCTACAGGGTTTAGGTCGTCGGGTTCAGGGAATCGGGGTTAGGGTTAGGGTTTCGGGGTTTTGGGTTTCGGGGTTAAGGCGTGAACAAACCTAAGAAGACAATGAGCCCGCCTGAACACCCAAATAAAACACACTTCTGGGTTTCGGGTTAGGGCTAGGGTTCGGGGCTTGCTGACTTCATGCAAAAACCATGAGACTCTGGTACCCTCTTATGAGCCCTGAGACCCCAAAACTTATGGATGCTCAGGAAGCAGAAGCCTTGTTCACTTTTTCTTCTGCGCTACGGGATCCCCGCGAACTCCACCAAACAAGAGACAGGGCGCCATACGAAACCCTAGATCCCCAAAAAGTTAAGGCCCTAAGACCCCTAAACCCTAAACCCTCAACCCTAAACCCTAAACCGTTACAAGCCCCCCTAAAGCCCCTAAACCATCATGCTCGAAGGCCTGGACCCCCCCTAAAAGCCCCTATCCCGTGAGGCCCTTAAGACCCTGAAGGCCCTGAAACCCCCCCCCTAGACCCCTAAAGCCGCTAAGCCATAAGACCCCTAAATCCCCTGAAGCCCCGAAACCGCAGCCTGAGGATTGACGAAATCCAAGAGTCCGACCTTCAGTTTGGCGTGGACACGCGGGAGTCTCCCTACCGTATCTACGTGGCCTCCTTCTTCTTCTGCGCGTGCCTGAGGGTCTAGGGTTTAGGGTCTTTTGGCACGGGGACATGATATGTTCTACCCTAAACCCTAAACTCTAAACCCTAAACCCTAAACCCTAAACCCTAAACCGGAGGGCCGCGAGTTCCTTATCAAGGGGTTCTTTTTGACCCCCCTGGGACGAGAAGAAAAGGTACACGGTGACTTCGGTCGGCTACGGCGACATCTCCCCGCAGAACATACTGGAGCGGACGCGTGGTCGGCCGGGTTAGGGTTTAGGGGGTTTAGGGGGTTTAGGGGGTTTAGGGGGTTTAGGGGGTTTAGGGGGTTTAGGGGGTTTAGGGGGTTTGGGGGGTTTGGGGGGTTTGGGGGGTTTAGGGGGTTTAGGGGGTTCAGGGTTTACGGTTTTAGGTTTTGGGTTTAGGGCCCCGGGGGTCACTTCTCTAAGCTATGCCCGCTGCATGCCCGAAATGTTTTGGGGACTCCAGCCCCTACACTTAAGAGTTACAGGCAGGCCGGCGGTCACGCCAAGCCCCTAAAATCCCCTAGACCCCCGAAACCCTAGACCCCTCACGCCCTAGACGCCTAAAACCCCCCCAAAAAAAACCCACAAAAACCCATCAACCCTTCGGGTTTATAGGCCTTCCGGGCTCTTAAGCCTCCCCACTCCCGACCTTCGACTCCAGAAGGGGGGCGCCCGAGGATCGTCGGGTCCGTGATCGTGCTGATCTCGGGCCTTGCATGGGCCTACATCATCGGAGAGGTGGGTGCCATCGTGGACGACTTAACCCACGAGAGTCAGGAGAGCTTCTTAGGGTTTAGGGTTTAGGGTTTTAGGGTTTAGGGTTTAGGGTTTTAGGGTTTCAAAACCCCAAACCCCAAACCCTAAACCCTAAACCCTAAACCCTACTTTCGGAAACCCCTGAAAGCGCTGCAGGAGTTTCGGCAGCGAATGCACCGGCTCAACACGATGATGGGCGACCAGGGCCTGGAGCCGGACAGCATTTTTATGTTGCTTTTTGGTAGGGTTTAGGGTTTAGGGTTTGGGGTTTAGGGGTTTAGGGGTTTAAGTGTTTAAGGGTTTGAGGGTTTGAGGGTTTGAGGGTTTGAGGGAGGGGGGACAAGGGGTCTTTAGGTTTTTGGGCTTTCTGGTTCCAGGGTTTCAGGGCTTTTGGATTTTTCGGGTTTTAGGGTGTAGAGTTTCAGCAGGGGCTGGGGGGGGCTTTGCATGCTTTAGGGCTTAGGGTTTGGGGTTTCAGGGTTTAGGCCATAGGGGGCGGTGGGGAGGGCGTTTAGGCTTTAGTAGGGGCACGAAGGCGGGTTCACGGATTGAAGCAACTGAGTGCTTTCTTCCGTTTCAGTATGAAGGGCATGAGTTCATGTTCCGACAGTCTGGGTGTTAAGGTGAAGGGTGTGGGGTCTCGAGTTTCCGAAATTTGTAGAGGTCCATGTTGGAGCTTCCTGGAGTAAGGGTTATAGTGTTTGGGGGGATGTCATTTGTTTTGGGAAATGATAGAGTAACGTTCCTTGATTGGCCAGGACCTGCAATGCCGACTGCGGCGCTACTTCTTGCAAAACAGGCGGCCCCCGTTGAAAGCCGAATAGTAGCCTACGCTTCCCAGTTACTTCCTTCGTAACCTTTAGAAGGCGGTGTTGTAAGTCCATGGTTCTGTTGAAACGTATTTACCTCCCCTGCATGTTTGGCTGCATCTAGTGGACCCGAAGCCCCGAACCTTGAAAAACATTGAAGTTAAATCAACCTCAGTTCAGCCCCTACCCTACTTCCAGGGTTTAGGGTTTGGGTTTAGGGTCTATAGAAACTGTATAGGGTTTGGGTCCCAATAGCGCTTTGAGCGAAACGTTCTGAGCGAAAGTTTTGAGCGAAACTTTTCTTTTTCAGATATTAGGTTAGGGGGCAAGGGGGCGGGGCGGGGGGGAAGGGGGTCCCAACAAGTTTTGAGCGAAAAAACTGAGCGAAAGCTTGTGTTTTAGAACCGAATGTAATTTAGTTGGCCTTCCGGCCCTGGCTGGCCTCCTGGGATTCTTTGGGTGGGAAGGCCCCAGAGGTTTAAGTCTAAGTAAATTGAGCATTTGGCCTCCCAGGCGCTGAGGATGAATGTACTGAAACTCTGCTTGTCAGCTGTTTAGACAAACAACCTGGGAAAATTCAGAATCATACCACATACACTTTCTATTTCTTGTGTCTTGAGGGTTTAGGGTTTAGGGTTTAGGGTTCAGGGTTTAGGGTTTAGGGTTTAGGGTTTAGGGTTTAGGGTTTAGGGTTTAGGGTCATCCAGGCACCAGTCGGTCTTCAAGGAGCGGCAGGCGCTGATGGAGCGGATGAGCCCGCAGCTGCGCGCCTCGGTCGGCGCTTGGTTTAGGGTTTAGGGTTTAGGGTTTAGAGTTTAGGGTTTAGGGTTTAGGGTTTAGGGTTTAGGGTTTAGGGTTTAGGGTTTAGGGTTTAGGGTTTGGGGTTTAGGGTTTGGGGTTTAGGGTTTAGGGGTTTCGTACTCCCCCTTTGTGGCCGTTTGCGGGTCGCGGACTTTGAGAGTCCTTTTTCATATCGTTGAAACAGCAGATGTGTTAATCAGCACATGAGGGTCTAGGGTATAGGGTTTCGGGTTGAGGGTTTAGGGTTTAGGGTAAACCTCTGGCAAGTGTGGTATGCGATGAAAGCATGACAAACTCTCCAGCTCAGAGCGCTGTACCAGAGTTTTGGGCTTGAGCGCTTCAGGAATTCGTGTTCAGTGACTCAGGGTTGAAGATTTTGTCATCAAAACCCCAAAAGCCCCCCAAACCCCTTAGCCCCCCTTAACACCTTCAAAACCCATAACACCCCCCCCCCCCCCAAAAAAGAAACCCTTGGCCCCTTCAGCCCCCGTAAACTTTTGAAGCCCCTTAAGCCCCTTAAAGCCCCTTAAGAACCTTCCCTTCACACCTCCTTAAATCCCCTAAAAACCCCTTAATACCTTCAAATCACCACAATGCCCCCGAAAGAGCCCTTAAGCCCGTAAAAACTCCTTTGAAACCTTCCCCACAAACCCCTTTAGCCCCCCAAAAGCCCTTAAGCCACTTGTTAAACCCCTGGAAGCCATACAGGGGCTTCAATTTGGTAGCCCAGTGGTACCGTTTTCCTTTTTTCGTTCAAGGTTCCCTTGTAAAGAACCCCACCCAAAAAGGGCACCTTATGTTAATATGGTATTCGGGGTACCTTATTGGGGTCCTTATAAGGGGATCCTACTATTTGCGGGTCTATATTAGGGGTTCCCTATTTTCGTAAACTCCTTGGTTCCCGACACCCTAAACCCTAAACCCTAAACCCTAAACCCCAAACCCTAAACCCTAGACCCTAGACCCTAAACCCTAAACCCTAAACAAACCCTAAACCCTAAACCCTAAACCCTAAACCCTAAACCCTAAACCCAACAAAGGGCACCCTTATTGTAATATGGTTACTGAGCCCCCCACGAGGTGCGGAGGCCTGCATCGCCATCAATGGCGTGTGGCTCCAGAAGGCGCCATAATTTCACCCCCCTCCCCCAAAGCCCAAAAACGCCCCAAGCTCCAAGACCTTCTCAACCCTGCACCCTAAACCCTAAAACCCTGAACCCTCAACCCTAAGCCCTAAACCCCAAGCCGTAACCCCTAAACCCTATACCCTATACCCTAAACCCTAAACCCTAAACCCTAAACCCTAAACCCTAAACCTTCTCAACAAACCTCCAGGTTCCCTTCTTCAAGCAGTTCATCAGCCACATCAAGCGTCTGGAGTGCGAAGATCGCTACACCGGTCCTGAGGCCTCTCAGGGGTTTCATAGGGTTTAGGGGTTTAGGGTTTAGGGTTTAGGGTTTAGGGTTTAGGGTTTAGGGGTTGGGGGTTGAGGGTTGAGGGTTTAGGGGGTTTCGTAGGGTTTAGGGGGTTTCGTGGGGCTTCGGCTGGTCTAGGAGGGTTTTCGGAGGGCTATCGTGGGGTTTACGAGGGTTTAGGGTTTACGAAGGGCCTGGTGGGGTTTAGGGTTTAGGGTTTAGGGTTTAGGATTTAGGGTTTTGGGTTTTGGGTCTTGGGTTTTGGGGTTTGGGCGATCTATCGGGCGTTATGCGGGGGTGTAGGGCTTGGGGTTGGGAAGCTTGCGCGCCCTGCAAGGATGGTGCCGTAGATTGTCTTGGGTTTAGGGTTTAGGCTTTAGGGTTTAGGGTTTCGGGTTTCGGGTTTAGGGTTTAGGGTTTAGGGTTTCGGGTTTAGGGTTTAGGGTTTAGCCCATGATGGTGCTAGAGGTTTTAAGAGAACAAAAGCCTTTGGGGGCTATTAACGTTGAACAGTGCCTTTTTTTTGGGTGGGCGGGCAGGGAGGGGGGGCAACGAGGCCCACCCCTCCTAAACCCTAAACCCGAAGCTCCAACCCCCCCCCCCCCCCCGCCGCCCCCACTAACCCTAAACCCTCAAACAATCCCAGACCCTCAGCCCAAATCGCGCTAATCCTAAGCCCTAAACCCAATCCTAAACCCTGAGCCCTAAACCCCACCAATCCGAAACCCTACACCCCACCGACCCTAAACCCTAAACCCTAAACCCTCAACCCTCAACCCTAAACCCTAAACCCTCAACCCTAAACCCTAAACCCGAAACCCTAAACCCCAAACCCTAAACCCTAAACCCTCCCCCCCTTCTTTGCGTGCAGGAAGCTTGCGTGGCGGACATCTCGAAGAAGCTTCAGCTCCAGGCCTTTGCGCAGGAGGAGAGCTTCGACAACTTGCAGGCCCCTTTGGGGGGGGGGGGGTTTGGGGTTTGGGGTTTAGGGTTTAGGGTTTAGGGTTTAGGGTTTAGGGTTTGGGGTTTAGGGTTTAGGGTTTGGGGTTTAGGGTTATTGGGGTTTGGGGTTTAGGAGAGCTTCGACAACTTACAGGCCTTGCGTTTTTTTGGTTTTGGGGAGGGGGTGCTGGGGTTTGGGATTACGGGATTGTGGTTTAGGGTTTAGGGTTATTAGGGCTTGTTCTAGGTGCCTTTTGTTGAAGGGGGACGTTGAGGATCTAGGATGCATGTTATTGCTGCATTTTGGAAAGATTCAGGGTTTAGGATTAAGGAGGTTTAGGGTTTAGGGTCAGCGTGTCATTTATTTATCATGTAGGGCCATTCAGGGGCACTTAGGGAAGATTCAGGGAGCCTAAACCCTAAACCCTAAACCCTAAACCCTAAACCCTGCAGGTCCTTTTCATCCTGTCCCGGGGTATGCTGGCGGTGTTTTGCCACAAGAGCCACCTCTTCGTGGGCGACAGAACCCGAACGTATGGCTTCAAAGGGCCTGGCGTCTTGGCTTTAGGGCTATAGACTTGGGAGGCACCGAGGAGGTTCTGGGTTTAAGGGTTTAGGGATTAGGGGGGAATAGCAGAAACATTGGCTAAACTTCCAAACCCCTAACCCCAAAAATCCCTAAACCCTAAGCCCTAAAAAAAACCTTAATTCCCTAGGCGCTGCGTACCAAGTTGCCTTTCGTGCTTTCCTGGTTTGTGGGAAGGCGGCAAAAGAGCAACAGAATCCGCTAGGGCTTAGGCAGTGATGAGTCGGATTTGCCTAGGCTTGGGTTAAAGTGCGGAATTAAGAGCCCATGCCCTAACAAGGATGTATCTGTGTTTACAGTACTTATACCCTAGCCCTAAACCCTAAACCCTAAACCCTAAACCCATGGCGCTTAATCCTAAACCACATGCACCCACCGCAACTGTGCAGCCCAACTGCTCCCTCGACCCTGAACAGACCCCCCCCCCTTCGGGTTTGGAGTTTAGGGTTTGGGGTTGAGGGTTTAGGGTTTAGGTTTAGGGTTTCGGCATTTAACCTTCGGGATTCGGTTTTGTTGGGGGTTTAGGGGCTCGGGACTGTGAAAGCCCCAACTCCCAGCCAGGTAGTGAAGCCGAGGAAAAAATCTGCCCAAATATCGGTTCCAATTACACATTCGATCCTACAGTGTTAAACTTTTCCATATCATTGTCAAGGGATGGAATAGGAGACAAGGGGTGTAGGGCTCAGGCGTTTACAGGGTTGGGGTGTAGGAATAAGGGCCTTCTCAATGCAATGCATGCCACAGCTCCTTCACCAGGAGAAGTCTGGGGGGAAGACTTCGTCTTGTCGGACGTTTCTTTGATCCGATCGCAGACGGGCTATGCCTTGACGTACTGCGAAGTCCTCTCCCTAACGCACCACGACTTCATGCAGGCCGGCTGTCTTTAGAGCTTGGGACTTCTAGGCCAAGCCATGAAGTACCCCCGAACCGTTTAGGGTTTCGGGTTTCGGTTTAGGGCTTAGGAAATACCCCCTACCCCAAACCCCCCCCCCCCCCCAATTCACACTTTCTGAAGCCCACACTACCCCAACCCTCGAGCCGCGTGCAAAGGCAGCAGGCATGGTTTAGCCCCTTGATTTTAGGGTTTAGGGTTAAGGGTTTAGGGTTTAGGGTTTAGGGTTTAGGGTTTAGGGTTTAGGGTTTAGGGTTTAGGGGCTCAAGTCTGAAAGACCCGAAATCCAAAACCTGTGAACTCCGTTGGTTTCGAGTGTGGGGTCTGGGGTTCAGGGTTGAATCCTTAAAGCCCCTCAAGTTGAGGGCTGAAGGTTGAGGGTTTCGAGTAGAGCCCCTAAACCCCCCCATCTCCCCCCTCGACTCTTCCCAGCCTGCTCCCTGAAGGTGCTCCAGCGGCGGAGGCAATCCTGCCCAGAGCTCTGGGCCATCGTCCGGCATTACACCATCTGGCCACTGGGCGCAAGTCATTTCGTTCTTTTATTTTTTGGGGGGGGGGGGGGGGGCGGGGGGAGGAGGTCTGCAAACCCCTCGACCCTGAACCCGGAACACCAAAACGGCCGAAATTCAAACCTGAAAGAACCCCAAAACCCCAAAACCCCGAGCCCTAAACCCAAACCCTAAACCCCTTTAGCCCAAAACCTTGGGATGTTCCCCCTTATACGAACAGTCCTTAATAGGGATGATCGTACCCCCTAGTATAATCCTTATTAATGTTAGTATAAGGGGGAGCATCCCTACCTACACCCCAAGCCCTAAACTCCAAACCCTTAGGGTTTAGGGTTTAGGGTTTAGGGTTTAGGGTTTAGGGTTTAGGGTTTAGGGTTTAGGGTTTAGGGTTTAGGGTTTAGGGTTTAGGGCGTCTCGCCGCGCAGCGGCAGGAAGTACCATGTGGAAATGGCTCCCCTTCACACGCAGGGGGTGTGGGGGGGTGGCATGTCAAAGCAATGCAACAATTTTCATTTGGTGCTGGCTTCTTTCTCCCCACCCGCTGTGAGCTCTCCCAGGCCACCACCCAAACCATTGCCTTTTGGGGTTTAGGGCTGTCGCCCTCAATTCCCACCGTTGTCTTCTAACTTTGAAAGGGCAGCCGCCCGGGCGCCAGGCGGGTCATGGTCAGGAGGGGCAGGGGTCAGGGGGCCAGCGGCCACCACGGGGCGCCAGGAATTTGAGGGGTTTTGGGGTCTGGAAGGGGTACCCTTTTGTGGCAGACCCGGATTTTCGGGCCAACGTCCAGGGGTCTCAGGAAGGTTTGCATGGGCTCCCTGGCCGACCCGTTCTTAGGGTCTTGAACCCTAAACCCCAAGCCCGAAGCCCCCAAACCCTGCCGGAGGCGTTTCGAAGGGTCAGACCTAGAGCCCAAAGGATGTTTTCAGAGTTTGGTATTGGGGGGCTTGGGGGTGGGGTGGGGGGGGGGTGTAGGGCTCGGGAGAAGGCTGAGGGTCCCTTAGCATTAGGGTTAGGGTTTAGGGTTTAGTAAAGGGTTTAGGGTTTAGGGTCAAAATGCCCTAAACCCTAAACCCTAAACCCTAAACCCTAAACCCTAACCCCTAAACCCTAAACCCTAAACCCTAAACCCCACCCCTGTATAAACCTTAAAGCCTTACAGCCTGCCAGAAGACCGAAGGTTGGCCGTGCGCCGGGGCATCTTTGCCGAGGCGAAGCGGCGTATCTGGAAGAAGCAGAAGAAGGCGCGGGTTTAGGGTTTAGGGCTTAGGGTTTAGGGTTTATATAGGGTTTAGGGTTTAGGGTTTAGGGCTTTGGGTTTAGGGTTTAGGGTTGAAGAAGGCGCGGGTTTGGGGCTTAGGGTTGGGATGTTCCCCCTTATACTAAGTCCTTAATACGGAGTATAGTACCCCATTATCATCCTCATTAAGGACTGTTAGCATAAGGGGGACAATCCCAAGTTAGGTTTTTGAGTGAGGGTTTTGGGCTGAGCGTTTTGGGATGAGGGTTTAGGGTTTAGGGTCATAGGGCTATCAAGGTTTTGTAAGTGCAGGGTTTTAGTGGGGTTGGGGCCTTGGTAGGCTCAGTGGCTTTGGTCCTAAACCCTGAACCCACCCCCTAAAAGCAAACCCCCACAGATTTGGGTGTCTCGAGTTTAGTGTGGGTTTGGCTTTGCGTTGGGGGGGGGGGGGGGGGGGGGGGTTGCCTCCAACCACTAAGCCTACATTGATATCCTAAGCTCCCCTATCTTGCCATCTTGCCGGCTCTTCCTTTGGAAATGAGACAGACAGTCCTTTAGACTTATATACTTATATAGGAGAGATGAGCTACCTCACTATGTCCTCAACATGAGCCAGCAAGTAAAGCGGAGTGAATCTTACTTCAATAGTTCTTCAATAGTTGAACTACACTTTTTCTGTTCGGAGGTTTAGGGTTGCCTCTGTAGGGTTTAGGGTTTGGGGCTTGGGGTTTACGTATCATGCTTCGCCTTTAGTTGAACTTTAAGCTGTTTCGGTTTCCTTATTTAGTAGGAACATTAAAGCTTAACCTTTTCCCCCCCTGGCTATTGGAGAAGTAAGGTATAGGGCTTAGGGGGTTCTGGCAGCTTGCAACACCGAGAACTCAACGACTCAACTGTTTGCCGGAGTGAAACAGCTGCGAGACATACCCTGAACGAAACCCTAAACCCTAAACCCTAAGACTCTAAACCCTAAACCCTAAACGCCCTAAACCCTAGAGACTCGCCACTGCTTGCTTGGCTGCTGCGCAGACCGCTGGGAGTCCCGAAGCCTTAAGCCAAAAACTTCAAGCCTTAATCCTGGTTATAGAGTTTAGGGTTTAGGGTTTAGGGTTAAGGCATCCTGGTTATTGATTGAGGACCTAATTCACCCAAGTGTTAAAGTTTTGCCCTAGGTGTAGGGGTTGTGGTTTCAAGTGTAAGGTTTAGGTTTTTGGAGCAACCCTTAACCCTAAACCGGAAATCCCAAACCCTAAACGCTAAACCCTGGGGCGGCTGAGGTGTGTAGGAGCATCCCTTACAACATTAAGGGCAGGTTGTGGGTGTGAAGACTTGAACTACGGTACCGGTTCTTAGAAGGGAATCGTTTAGGGTTTAGGGTTAAACCCTAAACCCTAAACCTTAAACCCTCTAAACTAAACCAAACCCTAAACCCTCAAGGCCAGGATAAGCAGAAATTGTACACCTTTCAGTACGAGCAGCTCGTGCAACAATCCTTCATCCTTCGCAGTGCAAAAAAAATCAGACAGAAACACGGCCAGTGCAAACAAAACATACAAAAGCCAGGCTTTCAGGGCAACCAAAAAAGACCGCCCCGAAAGATTCTGCAGGCGCCCCTTTAGGCCCCCGAACAACCCCCCCCAAAAACCAAAACCCCCTCCACACGCCCCCAAACCCCCCAAACCCCCCACAACCCTTCCAAACACCCCAAAACGACCCCCACCAAACCCGACAAAACCTCCCCAAACTTCAGCAAAAACCAAAAACAAAGCCCGACAAAACCCCCGAAACCCCCCGAAACTCCGGACACAAGCCCTACACAATTTCTATAAACTCGACCTGTTGCAAGCTTGTGTTTTGGCCGGAAGGAAAGCCGGGCGGCGCGGAATTCCACCTCGACAACGAAGAGCACCCTGCTTTTGAGGAGAGCAAACTGTTTTCGGGCTTCAGGCATGTCGGGTTTTCTAGGGTATTTAGGGTATCAGGGTGTCAGGGTGTCAGGGTGTTTGGGTTTGGGGTTAGTAAGGTCACGATGGTTTAGGCCCCAGAGTCTTCAATGCTAGGGAGCTGAGGCACAACCGGCACAACCCTGCGATCTACAGGCCAGCCGTTGGCGGTGGCGATTCGGGCACCGGCTGCTTGGGCATGTTCGGAAAATTTTGGGATTTGGGGTAGGGTTTTGGGTTTAGGGTTTAGGGTCATTTTCGACACACTAAGCCCCTAAAGCTTGGCCCTAGACGCTGCCATCCCCCCAAACCCCCCTAGACCCCTCCCCACCCCAGCCCCCCCCCCACCCCACTTAAACCCTAAACCCTAAACCCTTGCAAACCCAAAGAGCAAGCAAGGAAGTGGCCCTACCTGGCTTGGTTTCAGATAAGAGCGACAGAAGCCGTTTGACAGAAGCCAGCTGACCGGATAGCAGCGTACGAGGTTCTCAGGCCCGTATCGGGCCTTTTCTGAAGATGCTCTACGCAGGGTTTAGGGCCTCTGAAATTACTAGTTAGTTTTTCTGCGGGAGTTAAGGGATTAGGTATATCCCCTTTCTTTCCCTTTAGAGCTAGATGCCTTTACGGTGGGGTTCTTCTGTGGACTCAAAGGGGTGCAAGTTTGCATTGCACGCGGAATTGCGGATGTCTCTACCGAAGCTCATGAAGGAAGCCCCTAGTCCCGACTGGAAGCACACCCCCAAAACCCCTTGAAGCAAAAAACTCTAACGGAGCCCTTGAAGCCCTAAGTACCATTAGAAGCCAAGAACCCTTACAACGCCAAGAACCCTAAACCCTACACCCTAAACCCTAAACCCTAAACCCGAAACCCGAAAACCCGAAACAACACAGCTCTCCCAAAAACCCTTTAATGAGCCCATCAACTTCCTTCAGAAGGCCCCAAGCGAGGCTTCCGCACTTTGGGAAGGCACCGAAGGTGCTCCTCCTTGTAGCCATGTGAGGGCTCGAATCTTCATCACAAGCAAAGAGGTTTTAGGGCTTTAGGGTTTAGGGTTTCAAGTTTAGTTCGTTTTATGCCGCCCTCAGCTCATTGATGATGATATCTGAAATATGTCTACCGTCGGCCTCCATGGGCTCTTCTTATGGATACGCGGGCCAATGCCATATCAAACACCCGATAAGTAAATGGAGGAACGGCATTTGATCCAAATCATCATGAACGATCCAGATGGATCTGTTTGTATTATATTGATGCGGAATCCCGGGTATACATTGTTTATATGATTTCGGATATTTCGTTTATATTCCGTCGGGCCATATTTTTCGTTTGGATATTTCTTTGGGTAATATTTTGGATCCATTGCGATGATTGTATTAGATATATATATATATATATCTCTGTCTCTCTCATTTCTGGGTTCTCTCGAGATGGATCT